GAGCTGCTTTGCGGCACCCAGCACGCTGTCACCTTGACCTCGCCGGCCTTGAGGAAGGTACACTGGCCTTGCTTCAGCCACATGACTTTGCAGCAGCCAGTGCATCCTTCCCTCAGCAATGCCAGCTTGCCTCAGTCATGTGGCCTTGCAGCAGCTGGAGCACCCTTGCCTCAGATGCACCAACCTTGAGGGAGCCCCGCCAGCCTTGCCTCAGCCACACAGCCTTATCTCTGCCTTACCTCGTCTTTGCCTCGGCTGTGCCGGCCCTGAGGTAGCTGGCACAGTCATTTCTCCGCCATGCCAGCCTTCCCAATGGGAAGAAAGAGGGAGGGGAGGAAGAGAGGGAAATATTCAAGTCCCATTGTCTCTATTGGCACTTGAATATTTCCAAATTTCGTAGTCGCAGGGGGGTCCAGAACAGATCCCCCGTGAATCCCCTCCAGTAGGGGGCTGCTAACAAATTTTAATAGCAAAAGGCCCAGATATGTTGTTGCAGCAGCTTCTTTGGTTCAGGTGGGTTGGGGGAACCAGGTGAGGGGGAATTGGAGGGCTGCAATAATTGCCTGTGGGCTACACTTTCTCTATGACTGATGTGTGAGCTACTCTGGCAACTTCTAGTCTAAATCAGGTTTACACAGCAAAATAAAACTTTCTGGTTAAACGTTCTCCACAAATGATCCTAATCTTTTGTTGTTCACTGCTTCTTATTTACAGTTTGGCAGCTGGGACATTAAAACATCCATACGCAATTGACAGCTCATAGTATATGTATAAGAATTTAAACATGGATACTTCTCATTTGCTTAAAAAGCAAACCTAAACTTGTGGTATGCTGTTCATCCAGTTCTTCAGTTATGAATATTTATGACTGTTTGTCAATTAAGCATGACATAAATGCATGTGTACTAAAGGCTGCTTGGTCTATATGTTAAATAAAGTGGTTATGAAAATTAATATCCCAACAAATCAGCCTTCTTGAGTTTTTTGAAATTGTATTATTTGTCTAATGTTTTTGTTTTTTCTTCCTTTATTAGATTGCGAAGTAAAAATGGAAAACAGAACATGCCAGTATCCACAGCAACTGTATCAATGGTTCATAGTGTCCCAGAACTGATGGTTAGCTCTGAGGCAAGTACACTTCCACCTTTTTTTTCTCAACTGATGTCCAAAGTTCAGCAAGTCAAATTGGAGGAATTTCTTGTGCAGCACATACATAATGCAGCACATTTATTGTAGCTAGATTTGAAGTTGAAATCGACTCTCAATAGATGGAATTTCAAATCATATTCTGTTGAGCTATAACCACATTTTGTCTTTTAAAGATAAAGCTACTGCCTGTTTTTTCCCCCCAAAAATGATGTTAGTCTATCGAATATTGTGTGGCAATATATAGCAGTGCTATATAGATTGATCTTCATTATGAAATTGTACAGTCTTCCAATGTTCAGCAGTTCTTTTGCTCACATGCAAAAAACCTTGAGTCCAGAGTATCACATCTCAAGCTTGCTTATGTTTTTTCAAACAAGGAGTGGCAAAGATATATGTGTTTTTGTATATTGTAACTGTGTAAGTTAAGATTAGGAAAGGTGAACATATTTTTCATATATAAATGAAATATATTTAGGATGGCCAGTTCTTTCTGTGTACTGTGCATCTGGGTGGGGAAAGCACAACCTTGTTCAACATAAAATGCCTGTTACTCAGAACCAAAATTAGACTTTCACACACTTTTGTTTGTTTGTTTGTTTGTTTTACATGTTTGGAAGTCTGTGCAGCCCCTATAGGATCTCTTAGACAGAAAATTGGTCCAAAATCTAACGTAAAATCACCCATCCTGGAGTAGATAAAGAATCAGGGAAATAGCCTAAAATATTCTACTGTACAGGCAAAAAAAAAGTCCATGTAGAAAAATACTATGTTATCTTTCTGCATGATCATTTGCCAGGTTATAGCAATAAAGCACTTGTTGGAAATCCCATTGTTTAGGTTTGCAAGTTTAGTTATTTATTTTTTCCATAGATCACTAGAACTTGATGGCAGCCTTAAGATACCTTTCCCTTTCTTTCAATACACTAAGCTCCTGAATATGAATGGAAGAAGCTTTTTTTTTTCCTTTGCAGCACATATTTTTTGTCATTATTTTTACTCTTTTCAAATTACTATGTATAGCTTCTATTAAAATATTTTCATTGACCTTGTTAAACTTAGGATTTCCTTGAGTGTACCTAACATGACCTTCTCTTTTTATTGTAGCAAGCTGAACAGTTGGGCAGAGAAGACCAGGAAAGGCTACGTCGAAATCGAAAACTCGTGCTAATGGTAGATTTGGACCAGACTTTGATCCATACCACAGAACACCATTGCCAACAGATGTCTAACAGAGTAAGGCAATATTATTTATTATTTTCCTTTAACAAGTTTAAGGCAGTTGGCAGTATTTCAGAGAAATATGAAAAATACTTGAATGCAGTTGACATTTGAAAAGACTTTTTAAAATCTTTGTAAAATAAGTCATGTTCCAATAGTTTTTTTTTTAAAGGCAAAAACATTGTCCATAGATTGGTCTTCATTATGAAATTGTACAGTCTTTCATCAGCAGTTCTTTTGCTCACATGCAAAAAATTTATTCCACTAGAACTAGGGAGGGAAACTCCTATGCCTTCCCTGTCAACTTCTAGTTTCGTTCCCATTTGAAAAAAAGCCTCCCCTGGGCTGAAAAAAATGCCCAAAGAATCTCAAAAACATGGCAGAAATTTTCAAGGGAATTATTCTTTTTATAACTCACTTTTTACACACACACACACACACACAGAGTTCTTGGCTTCTTGCAGACCTCAGAAATGTTCACAGGGGACTGTTCACAGCCTGTAGGTTGCACTTATCTTTAGATCGAAAAATTACCCGCAAATGAACAGATCCTGTATCATTTTAAAATTGGAATTTTGTTGTGTTTAGTTGTCTTTGGAATATATCTGTGGTATAATCCACTGTGAGCCCTCAGGTTTCAATAAAGTAAAATCAGTAATGCTACAAATTGTTCCTGTTAAATCTGCTTGTATGGCTTCTTTTCAGGAATTAAACATTGACTACTCATAACATTGCTTGGTGTCACTAGCCTTGTCAGGTGCATAAGCATTGGTTCTTTTCAGGAATCCATCCTATCACAGCCCTCAGAAAGATGCTTCTTTACAAAAAAAAAGAATCAGGTGTTGAATGATAAGTCAGCACTTTCATAATTCCCTTTGATTCAGTGGATTTATTTTAGCGATTGGATTTAAGCTGTCTGGCTTTGAGCCAGAGTCTTTTCCTCTTTTTCTTGGAGAGTAAGGAAATGGAAGTTAGTTACATGTCTTCCAGGTGTTTTGCATTATATTTCTCTTATAGAAACTACATCATTCCTTTGTGTGATACATGGTTTATGGATGAAATAATCAGTATATGATGTTCAAATATTTAATGCTTTTAATATTTACTATATATTTTTAGTACTTCAGGCAGTATATGGTTGAAAAATGAAATCTGTTATGCTTGAACTCATTCATTCTGAGCTGAAAAATACATTCCATTTTTATATAAAGCATAACGTCAGTAAATCTCTCCCCTTTAGGGAATATTTCATTATCAGTTAGGTCGAGGGGAACCTATGCTGCATACCCGTTTACGTCCTCATTGCAAGGAGTTCCTAGAAAAAATTGCTAAACTGTATGAACTACATGTTTTCACCTTTGGGAGCAGAATTTATGCACATACCATTGCAGGTAAGTATCATATTTTGAAATTTGTAGTATTATAGCAGGTATAGGATTTTACCCAACAACTCTTCAAATCTATACATACAAGAACCTTCAAAGTTACTATATATATTCATGTATA